GTTCTTGTATTCTTGTAGAGAGCAAAGATCACAAGTCAATATACTATTATGGAGCTTCTACTAAGGAAGATTCTCGCTTCTTTTTCTATTACAAATTAGAATTACAAATATGAAGTAGATTTCTCTAACAAATCAAAAGCTAAAGCAACCAAGAGTATATATAGCTTGTTGAGTTTGAGTGACTTCTCTTTTTCCTTTATTCTTGCTTACTTCAAAATGAGACTATCTTCCCTCTATAAGCACCTAGAAAGAAGAAAGAAAGAAAGATTCTTTGGAACTTGCTTTGTTATATATGTTTGATGCTAGCATCACTGTACTTTCTTGTATCTATTAGTGTTTATAAATGAGGTACCTTTTAAACAAGTCTTCACTTCAAGTCATTTGAACTAGGTCATCAAGATAAGTCTTTCGAAAAGAAATGTTACAGTTGAAGGTTTTTTATTAGCAACTTGGGGTAGTCATTTAGTTACTTGGGATAGACATTATCACTAATGCTAATCAACATTCCTTGACATATTCCTAATTTCTCTTTCAAGTGTCATAAAGATGTCTTGTGAATCTTTCCTTTTGTTTAAGAACACATCATGCCATACAACCTTTTTATTAGTTTAATTTTCTTTTGCTGAAACATATGAACAAAATTATTAGCACACACATCGGTACTATTCTTTTCTAAATTTGATACTAAGAATTTGTCATTATTAAAATCAAAATAAGGCATGATTCAACACTATCCATATATGAACTTGTTATTATAATGCACTAGGGTCTAAGAACACTCTATTGTTGGGAAGTGCGTGATGTAGAAAAGGTTGTGATGGAATACAATCAAAGTTCTACATCTTTAGAAGAAAAAGATGGACATGGGTGTATAAACAAACACAAAGTTTTCGTTGGTAAGAGGTATTCTAACAAGTGGTATCAGAGTCGAGATTCGATGGTTTCGACCAAGTGACTAGTTAGGTGAGTATGACGGAGTTGGCAGGTAGATTCAGGTACAGGATTCCTTTTGTCAAAAGTCTTTCTAATAGTGAGTCCATATATGGGAGATAGTTTTCCTAAATGGAGGGTTAGGAGGCGTGTCCCACTATCATGAGTTCATGATAAAGCAATGGTGCAAGTACTTAGAGCATGATCGAACTTTATGTCATCAGATATACTCATGGGCTAATAGCTTCCACTATAAAAAGGGGGTAAACCATGATCTTTTGTTTGAGGGAGTGATTGTTGGGATATAATTGAAGTCCCTCATCATTCAAATAAGAGAATGGACATGAGTTCATATGCATAGAATTTTCTCCATTGGAAAGAGTCATTTTGGATGATGACCAAAAAGCAAAATTATGAGAGCTTAGGTCCAAAGTGAACAATATCTTACCAAATGTGGAGACACAAATGTGTATGGTGACCCCTCAGTACACAAGTTGCATTGTGTCACACTCTGTACTACCTACTTAGTATCTTAAATTCCACTCTAAGACATCACTATTATAGATAAAGTAAGTGAAACTAAAACGAGACACCATTTCACTCCTTTGTGTTTTCTTTAATGCTTTGCTTGAATTGATATTTTATATTTGTATATGCGGTACAAGAGATTAAGAGAAGGAGAGCTAGGTTAAGGGAAGAACAAGGCAACAAAATAAGGAGATTGTGCACAAATAGGTGAAGACCACGACTCAACTTTGTTTCAAAAAAACTTACACCACATGAGAAGCTTTTAAACAACATTAATCATTTTGAGGAGGTTGTGTGTAAAGATTTGAAATAAGAAGACTCTTGGTGCCCAAAAGAAAGAGAAGAAAAAATGTGTATACATAGAAAGATGGACTTTCTATGTTGATTATATTTATAATCAACATAGAAAGTTAACTTTTTATATTAGTTCTTTTGGCAACATAGAAAGTTAAAATTTTCTATAATCCTACAATTATCTAAATATCTTTTTTTACAATTTTTATTCCAATAACCCAAAATTGGTTAGTCAAGTATATTCCATTAACACAAAAAATAATATGAATACAACTTGAGTAGGCAAGTTACCAACAATGAAAACATATAATAAATTATTCATTTTAACTACTACCCCAATTCCTAAATATAACTCTTTTAAATAGTTCACACCATTGAAAAAAATTGATAACTTATTTAGTAGCATTAAATTTGTTAGCATATTAAATCATTTTTTTTAAAATCACCTTCAAAATTATTGAAATTCATCACCTCATTATTTCCATCTAATTAATTAATATGTGCAATAATTTTCTCTTAACCTCATAAAAGAGAGAATAAAATTATATATCTTATTAATTTACATGCGAGACTATTTAGATGTGAGACTAATGAAAGAACAAGGTTTTAACGTATGATAGCATTATAAGATTATAGTTTTTCTTTTTATTAATAAAATGATAGAAAGGAGATGGTACCCTCATGATTATTGAGCATAATGCTAATGACAAGTTGAAGATCCTCAAATCAAGTATCATTGTTCACATAGTGGTTAATTGAAATTCAGTAATATCCAATTTGACATAAAAGTTTACTTGTCAAACTATGGATCAACAGAGATCTACTAGAAAAATCATCTTTAATGTCAAGAAATCTATGTATGTTCGTCAAAATAAGATAAGACTATATGGTTTAATTAAGAGTATGAGACCAAAGTTACACACATATGAAAATAATGATTTTCTTTCTCTTTTTCCTTAATATATAAATAATAAAACGATTGACCTTTATTTTATATTACTTGTTTCCTATTATTTTCTCTTAAACAAACAAAACATTAAAGAGAAAAATAATTTTAAAAAATTATATTTATAATCAATTCAATTTGGTGTTTACATGATAAAAACTAATTTTAAATACTTTTTTGTCCTCGTGATTATATTAGATTATATGTTTTCAGTTCCTTAAACTAGAGAAAAAATAATAATTTTTAATTCTTTAAATTTAAATATAATTTTTTTAGTTTTGTGATTTTTTTAAAAATTATTTTAGTCTCTCAAAACTATCAATAGTATCATTGATAGAAACAAATTGAGTCAATTGGACAACATTAATTTAATTTAATGCAATATTTTTACTAATAATGATATTATTAAATGAGTTTTGTGTGATAGGTTTTCAATAATAAATGAATTTATTTTAACATATTTGCTAATGTCATTTGAATAAAAAGAACAAAATATATTTTTTTTATAAAATTTGAGGAACTAAAATAATCAAATTTAAATTTAAAATATTAAAAAAAATCTTGTATTAAAAAGATTAAAAGTACATTTAAATTTTATTTTAATTTATATTTTCCTTACCCTCTAAATCTTCCATTATTTATCCTTGGATTATAAAAATGCTTTATGTGACTTCATTAAACATTGTCACAAGACAACAGTATATATGTTGCAAAAGGTGTTAACCTATTCAGAGAGATGAAAAGTATTCAAGCTCAAAAGTTGTATCACGGGCTTAGATGTTTAAAAAGAATAAACAGAAGCTATATCTTTTCCTTTAATTTACAAGGAGAATATATCATATGTTATTAAAAGACAGGACATGATCCAATTTCAATTCAAGTTTCAGAAAAGTAGTAATTATGTTACAGTCAGATTACAAAGTTGTGGGAATCACATAGTGGTACAAGACACCTGGTACCGTAGGATAATATATGGTTCTCTAAGAAAGAGAGAGGTGCGTGGTCATATCGTCATACATCTCTCTTCATTCTTAATTCCTTAACCATATCACTTCCCAATAACAGAGCAGGGTCTTGATCTGCTGAGCTTGGAAGTGAGTGCTGTAAAGATTAAAAGGTACACCTAGAAAATCTGTCTATTTCTCAACAAGAAAAAGAAGAAAAAAAACAGAGACAACACATGAAAAATTTCATTCAAACAAAATATATATATATATATACCCTAGAGTGAATATATACTTAAAAAGAGAAGAGAATAATATAGTAGAAAAAGAAAAAAGAGAAGAAAATAACATGTAAAAAATGGGGACCAAAGAAAAATGGGGTGTTTACGAAATGAGAAGAAAATAAATTAGTTTAAATATATATATTTTTGATATTTTAAAATTATTTAATATTTTATTTTATTAATTTTAATAGATAAGTAATTATAAAATTATTTCACTTGTTGATTTGAATTTATATAACAAAATATTATATA